CTTGGTAAAGTCTTTATGGAGCAGTTGAATAGGGTTGAGACAAATCTGCAAACATTATGAAATAATTTCCTCTCGAAGCTCTTGTATGTGTTCACTTCCCTTCCCCAACCCTGCCCACTTCCTCCAGCGCCCTCTAAACTCTAGTGCTCTTAGCTGCTGTCAAATTGGCCTGAGTCATGGTGCCTTCATGCGCAATGGAAAGAAATGCTGTCCTGTCCTGCGTCATCCCTGTGATTGGTTGAGGATCATACTGCTGTGATCCTTAGGGTTTTCACTGGCTGATTTTTGGAAGTAGATCATTAGGCCTTTCTTCCTAGTCCATCTTAGTCTTGAAGCTCTGCTGAAACCCGTTCAGCATCATACCAACATGCAAGCCTCCACTGAGAGATGGTGGGGTTTGTGCAGGAAGTGCATTGGCCAGGAATCAAACCTGAGTCTTCCACATGCTGAATTAGAGGCTGATTCCAAGGTCATAACCAACACCCTAAGAACCTGAATGCTTCCCATCAGGACTAAAGGTTGGAAATCTGTTCTGTGCAGCTATAGAATTGACTGGACTAGTTTCACAAACGTCATAGGCTACTCAACTCCGTCTCTGAGGACAGCCACCAGTCCAGATGACTGGATTTTGGATAAAAACATTATCTTCAACAATGTATCTGTCTTGTAGACACTTTTTCTTTTTTTCTTTTTTTTAAATTTGATTGTGTTTTAGGTGTTACAGCGCAAATTAGTTTTTCATTCAAAAATTTATACACAAATTATTTTATGACATTGGTTGCAATCCCCGCAATGTGTCAGCACGCTCCCCCTTTCCCTTTCCACCCTAGGTTCTCCATGTTCATTCCTACAGTTTTCCTGTCCCTTCCTGCCTTCTCGTTTGCTTTTTGGCAGGTATTGCCCATTTGGTCTTGTATACTTAATTGAACTAACAAACATGCTCCTCACATGTGTTATTGTTTATTTTATAGGCTTGTCTAATCTTTGGCTGAAAAGTGGACTTTGGGAGTGGCTTCAGTGCTGAGTTAGTAGGGTGTCCAGGGACCACAGTCTCAGGGGTTCCTCCAGTTTCTTTCAGACCAGTAAGTCTGGTCTTTTTTTGTGAATTTGAATTTTGTTCTACATTTTTCTCCCACTCTGTCTGGAATCCTCTATTGCAATCCGCATCAGAGCTGTTGGTGGTAGTAGCTGGGCACCATCTAGTTCTTCTCCACTCAGGCTGGTGGAGGTTGTGGTTCATGGGGTCCATTAGTCCTTTGGACTAATATTTTCCTTGTATTTTTGGTTTTCTTCATTCTCTTTTGCTCTGGACAGAAAGGTGCCAATAGACGTATCTTAGATTAGAAAGCTTTTTTAAAGCTTGACTAAGACAATTAAAAGTGATCAGAGTGGATCAGTCTTTATAAGCTGCTTTTGCAGTGGTTAAGAGCTCGGCTGCTAACCAAAGGGTCAACAGTTATCAAACCCACCAGCCACTCCTTGGAAACCGTATCAGGCAGTTCTACTTCGTCCCACAGGGCGGCTATGAGTCAGAATCCACTAGACGGCAAAGGGTTTGGTTTGGTTTTTGGTTTTCCTCAGCTTAGCCAGGCTGCCAGAACCTTACATTTCCAACCCATGTCCACTGTCCAGATAAAGGCAGAAGCGCTTAGACTCCTCTAGCCAAGCGAAACTGAGTTAAATGCTAGTCTCCCCAGTCTTTCTAGATTCACGTTGAAAGTTTCTTGACAGTATTCTTCACTAGTAACTGTGACAGTATATTACCAGAAAAAAATAACTCCTTGTTATCCAACATGAGGTCTCTGGGTGGTACACACAGTTGGCAATTTCAATTCACCCAGTGGCACCATGGAAGAAAGGCCTGGCAATCTGTTTCCCTAATGATTACAGTCAAGAAAACCCTATGGAGCAGTTCTACTCTGTAACGTATAGGGTTACCATGAGACGGAATTGACTCAATGGCAACTGGTTAGGTTTGTTTGGCTTGACCATCCAACACAAGCATGTACTTACAGATTCTGTTTGGTGCTGGCTACTTAGAAACTCAGACAGAAAGTAACTTTATACACAGTAGTTAAAATGGCACCGTGGTTCACTGGTTCAAGGCTTTATGTTCTGACTTTTATACTTCAACTCACTCCAATTTTGCTCTGCTTTGAATTTTTCTATTTAAACTTCTCTCGGCAGCCACTTCTTGCTCTGTAAATCTTAAAACAGCCTGGATCAAAAATAGTCTTACTTGGACCTGACCAGCTTAAATGACCAGCTTAAGAATATGGAAGCCTGCCCTGCCTCTGCAAATGCCCACCCAGGAAGGAAAAGCTGTTAAGTTTCTAGAATCATCTCTGGAGGCATGAGTGCAGGAGCAAAGAGCCGCAGTAGCATGCTGGAATATCCATCCGCCAATGCCACTTCCCCTGCTCCACTTGGGGTGTCCAGAGCTGTGAGAAGTCAGGTAAATTCCGGGACACATCAATTTAAAAGAAAAAAAAAACGAAAATCCATTGCCATCGAGTCGATTCTGACTCATGGTGACCCAACCCAAGGTGGTACAGAGTAGAACTGCTCCAGAAGGTTCTCTTGGCTGAATCTTTATGGAAGTAGATCACCAGGGCTTCCTTCCATGGTGCCGCTGGGTGGGTTTGAACCACTGACCTTCAGATTAGTAGCCAAGTTCAAACCTCTATGTCACTCAGGGACTGAACACACTGATAATGGCCCGTTAAACACTTCTATGGCCCCTGTACCTGCCAGGCCACTTGCCTGTGAACCATGAGGCCTGTGATTCTTAAGCATAGGTGGTCATTTATTCCAAGCCATGGTGCCTTTCCCTGACACTTCATCCCCAGCCCCAACCAAAATAGACCTAAGGGAAGGAAAAGATGTTTGCTCCCGTCAGGAGGAAATCATGGCTTCTCACTCTCCCCTGATTGTCAGGAGGGGAGTAGTCTCCACACTTCATGCTCCTGGGAAGTCAGTCCTGAAATTCCTGAATCAGTTGGCCCAGGACTCCCTCCCTGGAGTGACAGACACAGTCAGTCCTCCCTACTCCTGAGAGCTTGTCCTGTGTTCCTAAGTCTGAACCAGCTGTGTTATTCATTCATTCATTCAACAAACAAGCATTTGAGAACCTACCACTGTACCAGGCTCTAAACTAGGCACAAAGACTAGAGAGGAGAATGAGACAGAGTTCCCACCTTCAGGCAGCTTTCAGCCTAGTGGAGAGGGATACACAATAAACCCACCTATCAATAAGTAAGTAGTTTCATAAAGTAATAAATGCTATGAAGGAATTAACACAAGGCAGCATGACAGAGAGAAATTGGGTTCAAACTGGGAGATGGGCAATAGGGGCCACTGCCATCACAGTACTCAGGGAAGATCTCCCTGAGAGAGGACATTTGAGCTGAGATGTGATGACAGAAAAGAAGCTAACTAGTCATAGATCATCACGAAGAACATTCCAGAAAGAAGCAGCAGCAAATGTCAAAGCCCTGTGAAGGGAGAAAGCCTCACCTTGTTAGAAGGACAGAAGAAACACTGGTAGGATGGAGCAGAGTAAGTGAGAGGGAGAGAATCCAGAGATGGGGTTGAAGGGGTGGGCAGAGAGTCATGGATCAACTTGGGCCTCTTGGGCCAGGGAGGAAGACCACCAGAAGGTTATATGCAGAAAGTGATCAGATTTCTGCTTTACAAAGATCACTCTGGCTGCTGTGAGCAGAATTCAGGAGAATGAAGTCTAGGTCACTTGGACTAGAGTAGCAACCACAGAGACAAAGAGATGGATGGGATATGGGACATATTCTGCAAGGAGAGCTCCAGGACTCTAGAACAAAGACAGAAGTCCAGTGTCTGTAAGTACTCACTAGTATTCTTGTGTGAGTGGCACACACACACACTCTTCTCCTTACACACACAGTGCAGGGTAGTGGCCCAGACTCCAGATTCCGGAGCCAAAATGCCCGGGTTCAAATTCCAACTCATTCACTTGCTGGAGATAAAACTTGGTTCCAGTCACTGAAGCTCTCTGGATCCCAGGCCAGGTTCCCATATGTAAAAGGAGATGACGCAAGGAGCATCCTCCTGTGGTTGCTGTGAGGATACATTGGTTACAAAAGTGAAGCAAGGAATAGAACCTGCAACATAGTATCTGAGCTTGCTTTGGCTGCAGTAGCAAACTACCACAACCACCCCTTTTTATTCGCCTACAGTTCTGGAAGCCCGAAGTCCGAAATTTGTTTCACTGGGCTTACGTCAAGGTGTTGACTGGGCTGGTTTTTTCTGGAGGCTCCAGGGGAGAATCCATTCCTTGTCTTTTCCAGCTCATTCCTTGGCTCCTGGCCATATCACTCCCATCTCTGTTTCCATCCTCACATCGCCTTCTCTTTTGACCTTCTTGCCCACGTCTTATAAAGACCCTTGTGATTACATTGAGGACCCACCCTGATCATCCAGGATAATTGCCCTGTCTCATGATCCTTCAATTAATCACAATCTCTTTTGTCATTGTGATGGTTAAGTCTGTGTGTCAACGTGACTGGGCCATGATTCTCAGTGGTTTGGCAGTTATGATGTAGTTTGGCAGTGATGTAATGATGTAATTTGGCAGTTACGTAATGATACAATTAATTCCATGATGAGATCTGCTATGAGCAGCCAATCAGTTGAAAGGGAGTTTCCTTGGGAGTGTGGCCTGCATCCAGCTTGTCATCATCTGACCTCCGGTTCTTGTGACTTGAGCTAGTAGTTTACCTGCCAATCTTGGGATTTGTCAGCCTCTGCAGCCTATGAGCCAGCGGCCTGCCATCTAATCTGCTGATCTTGGGTTCGTCAGCCTCTGCAGCTACATGAATCAGGAAAAGCCTCCATCTGATACCTGACTTACTGACTTGGGACTTGCTAGCCTCTACAACCATGTGAGACTTTTCCTTGAGATAAATCTCCCTCTGTCTCTCGCTCCCTCTGTCTCTCTCTCTGTCTCTCTCTCTCTCTCTCTCTCTCTCTGTGTGTGTGTGTGTGTGTGTGTGTGTGTGTGTATGGATAGGTATACACACTTCACTGGTTTTGCTTCTCTAGAGAACTCAGACGAAGACAGTCGTATACAGTAACACTCACAGGTTCTTGGGATTAGGATGTGGGTATCCTTGGAAGGCCATTTTTCAGCTCATTACATGTGGTAACCAATAAGTAAAGATTACCTCTATTATTAGCATAAATATTATTCCCAAGGCAGCCCAGAGTATCCCTGCAGCACCCTCCCAAGCAGTGTGGCAGAGGAGAAGTTGTGGAGAAACTCCTGTTCTGACTTCCAGAAGCCCCTGAGTCTGCCTTGAGCTGGAGCTGGAGCCCGAGCTGCAGGTGATGCTGACTGGATCAGGTCAGAGGTCTCAGTCACCCATTGGTCCTGGTGAGGGGACTGGGGTCAGAAGGCAGACGAGACAGGAATGTGCACACCATGGTAGGCTCAGGTGAAGTCCCAGAGGAAGCCCTGGAGTAGCAGCTAAAGGCTTCTGATGGAGCTGTATTCTGTGGGCTCCTCGTGGCTCTCCACGGGAATGCGGGCCATGATCTAGTCCATGTTGCTGTAGAATGGCTCCTGATTCGAGGTGTCCAAAGACAGAGAAGCATAGGAAATCTCCTCCCTTGGCAAGGGGTCCTGCAATAGAGATGGCCACAGCGTCAGACAGGCTGGCAGACTCCATGTCCAGGAGATGGAGGAGGCCTCAGACGAGGATGGGGGACCTCAAGAGGCCCAGACAGACTCCCCAAGGCTTCTGAAATCAACTTCCAAGCCCTCCAGGGCCCCCTCCATCCACTCAGCCAAACACCCTGAGCTCCAGCCATAACAGAAAATCTCTCCCTCCACTCAGCCTCCAGGACTGCATTTCCAGGTGGAATCATGGGTCCGTTAGCATGTCTGGGTCCTCCCGCCCAGCACTAGGACCGAGTTTGATTGGTCTTCAAATCCCCAGCACTGAGATCTGGTATGTGGCACTTTCAAGAGCCCAGGAATGTCCTCACGCAAGTCCCTCAGGGCTGTGGTGGCTCTGCCTGGCTCATCAAAGGGGTACACACCATGACTATGCACCACAAATACACACCACTGAGTACACACCATGATTACACACCACTGAGTACACACCATGATTACACACCACTGAGTACACACCATGAGTAGACATCACTGAGTACACCATGAGTACACACCACTGAGTACACACCATTGAGTGCACACCCAAGTACACACCATAGTGACGTATTCTGCTTCCTCCTTGTTGGCCTGGGCAGAGGAGGCTGACTTGGCAGAGGCCTTTTTCTGGGAAGAAACTGGGGAGGTGCCAGTGCGGTGCAGGGTCAGGTTAGCATAGCAAAGTTCACCCTCCAGGTGCTGGATCACCTGGGAGAGGACACAGGATGGAGGATCACAAGACTCCTCCTGTGTGGGCACATGTCCCTCCTCTACTGAGGTCCACAGACCTTTGCTTCCCTGGGTCCCCTCTCACCCAGTTCCCCCCGCACCCCACTTCTCAGTCTCCTATGCCCACCTGTCCCAGCTCTCCTCCCCTCTGGCTGTTGCCAGTCCCCCCACCCTCCCAAGCCCCTCTCAGGCCCTGCAGGATATGGAGGCCATGAGGATATAGATGTTGTTTGGTACACGGTTGGGACCTCTTTGCTCCCAGGAGACAGGAATGAGGAAGGGGGAAAAGAGCCAGCCGATCTCTCTGCTTGGGTCTCAGGACTCTCACCTGCTCTGAAGATGTCCCAGCAGCTGAAAGACAAACAAAATACAGAATTAGAAAGCCCATGCCCAAGACTCTCAGGGACCCCAGGTCTGGGGAAGAGAAATGCAGAAGGAAAGAGGGGAATTAGGCTCCAGATGCAGAAATAGGAGACCTGGTTCTAATTCTGACTCCTCAGACGACACACTATGTGACATTGGTCACAACCTCTCTGGGCTCCGCAGAGACCTAACCCCACCTGCTCCTCACATCACCTGCTGATTGGGCGGCCCTGCCAGCCATCCGCTCCTCTTGGATTGAGTTTTCTTCTGCTCAACCCTAGGCTCAGCCTGTAGCTTCTCCCCAAAGTTTTGCCCATAACCCCACCATTTCTCTATTGGATGCATCCTCCGGAAGTCAGCTCAGAGTCTCACTTTCCTGCCCCAGCTACGTAGATGGCATTTGATTTGTGTCTCCTAGTCGCCTTCACCCCCCCTGAACTCTAGTTTGTCTTCAGCAGGCTGTGAGTGGCTGGGTGACTGGGGCTGCCCTTCCTTGCATCCCCTGGCTCAGCTGAGGCTGACACATGGGTGCTCGGGCAGTAAAGCTGTCGCAGAGGCACTCCAATTGGCCCCCCAAGGGTGTACGTGTTGGGTCACATCATATGGACTGGTTTTCAAGTTGCTGCTGGTTCCAGTATTTCCTCTGCCCTTTGGACCTCCCCTGCCACCTCCTATGTCTCCTGCTTTAGGGACAACAAAGGAATAAAGGTTTTCCCTGGTTTTTAGTTTCTAGATACCGAGGAAATACTTAGAACTCAGGTCTTGGACAAGATATTTGGGAGAAGAAGTAATGAGTAAGAGTCAGTCCCCTCCTAACCCAGATGAAAAGATTCCGTGGGAGGGGGAGGAGAGGTGGATCGGGCTCCATAAGAGCTTCGATCCCAGTGGGTTTGGGGGGATGACTGTGAAAATGTGAAAGTGAAGCCAGACAGGAAAAGGATTGGGTTGGGGCCAAATGTCACGACTTCAGTCTTCAGGCTCTTCCCCAAAGAGCAAGTTCAGACAGCAAGTGAGACGGCCTGAGGAAGGGCTGGGGGCAGAGGAGGAAAAACAGCAGGGGGAACAACCAGCCTTTCTGAGCAAACCCAGAGGAGTCTGTTCATGTGTGTATACATCCATGTGTGTGTGCGTGCATGTGTGCGTACCCTGTAGGCACGCATCCATTTCTGGTTTTGGGCCTTGACGGCAGAGGTGGCAATGGCCTTGGGCAAACGGTCCAGTCTTATGTGTGTGTGTGCACATGTGTACATGAACTTGTGTCCATGTGTGCATGCATGTGTGTTCATGTATATGTGCATTTTTGTACATGCACTGTGTACATGCATCTACATATACATGTGCTTGTGTGTGTTCATATGTGTCCATGCACATGAGTGTACATGCACATATATTTGTACATGCTCACCTGTGGAGGTACACATGTGTGTATGCACTCGTATGTGTATATGCCTCCCTGCACCCATGTCAGCTCAGTACCTCCTTGGCAGCCACACAGATTCTGCTGAAGTATCCAAGCACCGAAACCCGGCTATCTGCCTAAGGCCATTGCCATCTATACCACCAAGAGCCGAAATCGGAAAACAGGGAAGGAGGAGGGTCAGAGAGAGGAGAAGGCAGTGATGTGCACAGCAGGCACCTAGCACCAAAACCCCTTGGGGCTCACCTATAAGCTCCAGGCCTCCCCCCAGGCTCTGGGACCGCCAGGTGCCAGTCTTTGCAGTCTTGGGGCCAGATGATCCTCGATGACAGCACCAGCCATCGGCCCCACACACTTCCGACTGCCCCAGCCCCAGCCCAGCCTCAACCAGGTCCTCTCACCTTCCTTCTGTCGCTTCACCAACCTCCAAGCCAGGAGTGAGGCTGCCACCAAGAGAAGCAGCAACACAGCACAAATGAGGGGAATGAGGGTGCTGAGCTCCAAGATCTCAGGCCTGGAAACAACAATTGGAGGAGGCCCCTGCATCCAGGGCTCACCTCTCGCCTCTGGGCCCTATCCCAAGTGGGAAGGGCACACACGTCATGACCCGCAGGGAACCCCCACTCCTAGGCACCCTCAAAGATAGTAAACAAGGAGACGAGGGTTCCACAAGATGGTTTGAATGTGTCTACAAGCCTAACAGGCTCCTAACAGGTCTCTCTGCTTCTACACTTTGTCCTCTATTATGGATTGAATTGTGTCCCCAAAAAATACATTTTGAAATCCTGGCCTCTATGGCCATAAATACAATCCTGTTTGGAAATAAGGTTTCCCTAGTTATGTTAATTAGCTCACACCGAGTAGAGTGGGTCCTAAATCTAATCACTTCTGAGTTATGAAAAAAGCAGAGACACACACGAGGGGAGACAGACATCAAGGAACGCCACGGAACACCAAGCTCAGCACAGTGCCTGCCAGGTAGACATTACCTCAGTAAAGGTGAGTTGAAGAAATGCATGAATGGACCAACCCACAAACCTACCAACTGCTCTGAGATCCAGGATGGGAGTCTGCAGGGGCTAGAAAGACACTGTGTGGCCTGAGAGCAAACGGGACAGCCCCTCTCCCCCTCCCCCTCTCAAAGGAGCCTGAGAGTCCGAGGCCAAGCTCCAGTTAGAATCTGGGATGACGAAGAGTTCCCCCATTGGAGGATCACAGGGAACAGCAGCATCTGAGCTGGCTTACCTGACATCAGAGAGCCAGCTGGTCATAATAGGTGAGGTTGTGTTCTCCTCTGGGGTGGCTGGTGCTGTAAATATGGTGGAGGTGGAGGTGGTGGTGGTCCGCATCGTAGTCAGTGCTTGGCATACAGACAAGATTACACACCATTCTGCCTGCTGACCTACCCAGCCCTGCACATGGCTCTGAGCCCATGGAGTGGGGTTGCCCTGGCCTGAGGAGCCTGGAGCAGGGCTGTGAGGAGGGGGCTGCAGTCTGGATCTCTCATATCTCCCCAGCCTCTAGGAGCCTCAAGAGCCTCAGAAGCAGGTGGGGCTGACACAGGGGCAGAGAGGACCTTGATCAGGCCTTGGGAGGGCTGGAGGGGGCCCAGGAAGAGCCTCAGGACAAGGGTGGCTGGAGTTCACCTGGATTTTAAACACTTCCAATGCTTATGACAGCTCCTCAGCCCATGCCTCCCCCCAATCTTATTTATCCAGCAAGGACAGGGTGGAATGGAAGCTTGCCCAGTGCTGTCAACATATACCCTACATCTGTGACTTCTAAGGTCAGAGCTAGTCCTGAACAAAACCATAATGTTAAGAAGAGCCTTTACCCTGGGCAAGTTTCTAAGCTTCTAGAATGTGGCTTCTCCAGAGTGTTGTAAGGATTAAGTTAGATAATGTACACGCTGCACATTGCAAACTGTAGCATGCCTCACTGGGCCAGGTGTGACTGGGGCTGTGTTGACTGTGGTGCCCCAAGTGTCCCAAGAACTGGTGCTGCCCATCGAAGGGTCGGTAGAAGTGGAGCCCGATAGATAAACTCCAGCCAAAGCACTGGGACCTCTAAGCTGACCTTCCGAGGAGTGTTTGCCTTCTAGAAAGACTTAGGAAGAGACATTATTAGATCCAAATGTATAAATGGCTGACAGTGGGATTTCAGACACCAGGAAGGCAGCTGTTTTATTGTAGGGGCCTTTCCAGACCTCAGAATTAGACCACAGCAACCCAACTATGCTGGACCTGTGTCTCCCCCGAGGTTGGATATGCGATCTGGGGTGGGAAGAGGTAATGAAGTCCCAGCCCAGAACTCCACAAAGAGCAGCCACACCTGGGCACCAGGGGTCCAAAGAAAGCTTGGGCTGGGATTAGGGTCTCTGGGTCCCATGGAAGGGGGTCCCTTTGACCCATGAACTAGAACTGGGGACCATCGCCTTGTTCTCTATGGGTAAGAGACTGAGCTGTGCAGAGAAGAGAATGTGCCCAGAAAGGCTTCATTCCATCCCAGAGGAGCCCTGGGAGCCATGAGAGACCATGTAAGAGAAGCCCCTCCCAACCCCAAGCGGACAGTGGGGGTCACTGATACCCTGGGGCTCAACCACCCTATGCCCTGGCCACAGTTCAGTCACTCAAGAAAGCCTCAGGGACTAGGACGGAGCAGGCACTGAAAGACACATCCACACAGACACACACTCTTACCTGGACCAATTGACACTTTAACAGGGACTCCAAGGTCAGACCCGAATCTCTCAATCCCGCACCGGTAAAAGCCTGCATCGTCTTCCCTGAGCTTCTCCATGGTCACTTTGAATGTGCGGTTTTTCTGACTGTCCCTGATGGACACGCGGTCCTTCTTCACCTCCTGCTCTGACCCAGTGGTTTTAACAAGGATTTGGCAGCTTCCCCAATCAGCTCCTCGACACCACCACTTGTAGTAGGTCTCCCATCCAGGGTTATAACCACACTGCACAGACAATGAGCCTCCCTTCCGGCCATTCACTGCACGTGGACCCGACATGGAGTAGCAGCCTGGAAAACATAAATCTATGTACCTGTCACCTCCCGTCCTGAGGGGTGGGCCGAAGCTTCCTACAGTGGGAATAGCTCCCAAATCCAAATGCCTGATGAGTTGAATTACAATCAAGGATGGAATATACTTTCCACAAGACAGACCTTTTGTCCTTTGAAATGCCATTGGCCAAGGCCCCCATTTAAGTCACTGACGAGCATAACTACTGATTTCAAAAGAAATAAAAATGTTGACACTGAGCAATAACAGCTTTCTATAATTCACCACTACCCCTGCCCTATGGCCAATATAATCTTTATATTTCAAGGGATGTCCTTTTGTGTGTGTGTGTGTGTGTGTGCGTGCGTGCGCGCGCGCACCCGCGTGCTTTAGGTGAAACTTTACCAAGCAAATTAGTTTCTCATTCAACAATTTATATACACATTGTTTTGTGACCTTGGTTGCAAACCCCACCATGAATCAACGTTCTCCCCTTCCACACCCCAATTCCCCATTTCCATCCATCCATTTCTCCTGTCCCTTCCTCTTATCATTGCTTTCGGGCAAGTGTTGCCCTTTTAGTCTCACAGACATGCTTGAACTAAGCAGCACATTCTCACGTGTCATTGTTTGTTTCATAGACCTGTCTTACCTCTGGCTAAAGGGTGACTTTAGGAGTTGCTTCAGTTCTGAGTTAAAAGGGTATCTGGGGGCCATAGTCTTGGGGGCTCTTCCAGTCTCTGTCAAACCAGTAAGTCTAGTCTTTTGTGTGTGTGTGTGTGTGTGTGTGTGTGTGTGTGAATTTGAATTTTGTTCTACATTTTTCTCCCACTCTGTCCAGGACCCTCTATTGCGATCCCTGTCAGAGAGGTTGGTGGTGGTAGCCGGGCACCATCTAGTTCTTCTGGGCTCAGGCTTGTGGAGGCTGTAGTACTTGTGGTCCATTAGTCCTCTGGAATAATATTTCCCTTGCGTCTTTGGTTTTCTTCATTCTCCTTTGCTCTGGACGAGATGCGACCCGTAGATGTATTTAGATGGCCGCTCACAAGCTTTTAAGACCCCAGATGTTTCTCACCAAAGTTGAATGTAGAACATTTTCCTTATGACATTTGTTATGCCAGTTGACTTAGATGACCCCCACAATCATGGTCCCCAGACTCAGCCCCAGTAACTCAGTCCCTCAGGGTGTTTGGATGTGTCTATGAAGCTTCTATGACTTTGCCTTGGTCAAGTTGTGCTGATTTTCCCTATATTGTGTACTGTCTTTTCTTTCACCAAAGTTAACACTTACCTATTATCTATAGGGTTGCTATGAGTCAGAATCAACAGGTTTGGTTTTTTGTTGTTTTTTTTTTTTACTATCTAGTTAATGATTTCCCCTCCCTTGTTACCTTCAAAGATTGTTTCTTTCTGTGTGTAGTTCTTTTCTTGAGTTTTTTATAATAGTGGTCTCAGACAGTATTTGTCCTTTTGTGATTGACTTATTTCACTCAGCATAATGCCCTCCAGTTTCATCTATGTTGTGAGATATATTGTGGATTCATCATTGTTCTTTATTGTTTCATAGTATTCCATTGTGTATATGTACCATAATTTGTTTATCCATTCGTCTGTTGATGGGCACTTAAGTTGTTTCCATCTTTTTGTTATTGTGAATAATGCTGCAATGAACATGGGTGTGCATATGTGTATTCAGGTGAAGTTCCTTATTTCACTAGGATGTGTTCCTAGGCGTGAAATCTAGGAATGTCCTTTTGCAACCATCTTTGTGTTTTACTGGTCTTTTGCTGTTTTTGCCATCGAGGCGATTTTGACTCATAGCGACCCCATGTGACAGAGTAGAATTGCCCCACAGGGTTTTCTAGGCAGTAACCTTTGAGGGAGCCGTCTTAGTTATCTAGTGCTGCTATGATAGAAATATCACAGGTGGATGGCTTTTACAAAGAGAAATTTATTCTCTCACAGTCTAGGAGGCTAGAAGTCCAAATTCAGGATGCCAGGTCCAAGGGAAAGCTTTTTCTCTCTGTCGGTTCTGGGGGAATGTCCTTATCATCAATCTTCCCCTGGTCTAGGAGCTTCTAGGGGCCCTGGAGGTGCAATGGTTAAGAGCTTGGCTGCTAACCAAAAAGGTCGGCAGTTCGAATCCAAAAGCCACTCCTTGGAAACCCTAGGAGCAGTTCTACTCTGTCCTATAGGCACTATGAGTCGGAATTGACTTGATGGCAATGGGTTTTTTGTTTGTTTGTTTGTTTGTTTGTTTTAAGGAGCTTCTCAGCGCAGGGACCCTGGGTCCAAAGGATGTGCTCCCCTCCTGGTTCTTCATTGTTGGTGGTAAGAGTTCCCTCTGTCTCTCTGTTTGATTCTCTCTTTTATATCTCAAAAGAGATTGATCAAGATACAACCTAATCTTGTAGATTGAGTCCTGACTCATTAACATAACTGCCTCTAATCCTGCCTCATTAACATCATAGAGGTAGGATTTACAACAGATAGGAAAATCACATCAGATGACAAAATTGTGGACTAACACACAATACTGGGAATCATGGCCTAGCCAAGTTGACACACATTTTTAAAGACACAATTCAATCCATAAAAGGAGCAGATGGCCAGATCTTTCTCCCTCAGAGAGGGTGGGTGAGTTCCAATCACCAGCCTTTCGGCTAGCAGCTGAGCACTTAACCTTTGCACCATCAGAGGTCCTTTATATGTTGGTCTGTTGTTGTTGTTAGATGCCAGCAAGTCAAAATAACTAATGACTGGACAGGGCTGTTCAATGCAGGGCTTCCAACTGGTTTAGTCCAGTTCAAGCCCCTACTGAGAATTTGCATTTCCACCCCAGATATACTGAATCAGAATCTACGTTTTTAACAAGATCCCCAGGTGATTCCTATCTTGTTACAATGTACATTTTGATTCAGTGTATCTGGAATGGAAATGCAAATTCTCAGTAGGGGGTCAAATCAGAACCAGTTGGAAGCCCTAGTGCAAGGGCATGGTCAGCAGAACAAAGTTACCTCAAAGATGTCTATGTGTTAATCCCCAGAACCTGTGAATGTTACCATATATGGCAGACGGGCCTTTACAGGTGTGATTAAATTAAGGCTTTTGAGATTAGGAGATAATCCTGGATTATCCAGGCAGGCCCAATGTAATCTTTGTAAAGTTATCCATAATTTGCTATGATCCACGCAGCCCTTGCATAGCCAATAAAACACAGGTAAACATCTCTCTACTATCCTCTGCTTTCATCCAAGATCCATCTGACATCAGCTATGATATCCCTGGTTCCATGTTCTCTTCTGAATCTGGCTTGAATTTCTGGCAGTTCCCTGTCGATATACTGCTGTGGAACTGGAATGTATGAAGTATGAATCTAGGAAAACTGGAAATCATCAAAAATTAAATGGAATGCATAAAGATCGATATCCTAGGCATTAGTGAGTTGAAATGGACTGGTATTGGCCACTTTGAATAGGACAATCATATGGTCTACTATGCCGGGAATGACAAATGGAAGAGAAATGGCGTTGCATTCATCATCAAAAAGAACATTTCAGGATCTATCCTGAAGTACAACACTGTCAGTAATAAGATAATATCCATACTCCTGCAAGGAAGACCAGCTAATACTACTGTTCAAATTTATACACCAACCACTAAGGCCAAAGATGAAGAAATTGAAGACTTCTACCAACTTCTGCAGTCTGAAATTGATTGAACATACAATCAGGGTGCATTGATAATTACTGGTGATTGAAATGTAAAAGTTGGAAACACAGAAGAAGGATCAGTAGTTGGAAAATATGGCCTTGGTGATAGAAATTACACCGAGACCACATGACAGAATTTTGCAAGACCAATAACTTATTCATTGCAAATACCTTTTTTCACTTATTCTGCTTGCTTGCTGCTTGCTTAATGTGCTCTTTTATATCTCAAAAGAGATTGATTTAAGACTCACCCTACAATAATACTGCCTCATTAACATAACGAAGAAAACCCATTCCCAGATGGGATTATAACCACAGGTACATTGTTAGGTGCCCATGAGTTGGTTCCAACTCATAGCCACCCTGTGTACAACAGAATGAAACACTGCCTGGTCCTGTGTCATCCTCACAATCTTTGCTATGTTTGAGCCCATTGTTGCAGCCACTATATCAATCCATCTTGCTATCACCAAGGCCATATTTTCCAACTACTGATCCTTCTTCTTTGTTTCCAGCTGTCACATTCCAGTCACCAGTAATTACCAATGCATCTTGATTGCATGTATGATCAATTTCAGACTGCGGAAGTTGGTAAAAGTCTTCAATTTCTTCATCTTTGGTGTTAGTATTTGGTGCATAAATTTGAACAGTAGTGTATTAACTCGTCTTCCTTGTAGGTATCTGGATATTACCTTATCACTGACAGAGCTGTGCTTCAGGATAGATCTTGAAATGTTCTTTTCGATGATGAATGTGACGTCATTCCTCTTTAATTTGTCATTCCCAGCATAGTAAACCATGTGATTGTCCAATTCAAAATGGCCAATACCAGTCCATCTCAACTCACTAATGCCTAGGATATCGATGTCTATATGTTCCTTTTAATTTTTGATGATTTCCAATTTTCTTAGATTCATACCTCATACATTCCACATTCCAATTATTAATGGATGTTTACAGCTGCTTCTTCTCATTTTGAGTCATGCCACATCAGCAGATGAAGGTCCTGAAAGCTTTACTCCATTCACGTCATTAAGGTCGACTCTATTTTGAGGAGGCAGCTCTTCCCCAGTTGCGTTTTGAGTGCCTTCCAATCTGAGGGGCTCATCTTCCACCACTATATCAGACAATGTTCTGCTGCTATTCATAAGGTTTTCACTGGCAAATTTTTTAGCAGTAGATCGCCAGGTCCTTCTTTCTAGTCTGTCTTAGTCTGGAAGCTCCACAGAAACCTGTCTACCATGAGTGGCCCTGCTGGTATCTGAAACACCAGTAGCATAACTTCCAGCATCACATCACAGCAACACACAAGCCATCACAGTATGACAAACTGATAGACAAGTGGTAGACCACAGGTATAGGGGTTAAGATTTACAACACATATTCTTGAGAAACAAAATTCAGTCCATAACATGTAGGTGGAGGATGGGGAGAGATGCCACAAAGGTTCACACTGGTGACTTGGTTCCTCATTACTGCTCAGCTGTGATGCTAGCTTCATTGAGCTTCAGACAGATCCTCCCCATTGGCTTCAATCGCTCCCAAACTACACACACGCACACAGATACTCTCACACACCCACACTCATATACTCTCATATTCTCACACATACTAATTCACACATATGCTCACACACATACACATTCAACACACCCACTCCGACGCTCACAGACACACACTCACGCACTCACTCATACTCACACATGCTCACATATACTCATGCACTCACACACAGACCAATACTCCCATGTCTGCTCATGATAAGTTTCCAGACATCAGAAAAAAGCACCTTGGTGTGTACTCCTCGACTTGCAATTTTATCTCATCACAGAACTGTGTCCAAAGGTGGCCTTCCCCATTTTTATGCTGAAACTCTGGACCAAGCCACCACAAACCATCCCAGTTCTGTCTTTATTAGCTTTGTGATCCTGGGAAAATCATTTTTCTTCCCTGCGGTGTGATGAATCACTTTTATATGGCCTTTATCACCATGGTCTTGTAACTCCCACCGAATCATTGGGTGGGGCTATGCAAATGAGGTGCTTGTGGGCCACAAAGGAGATTGG